TTCTAAAAGTGGGATTTCATCCTTTACTATAATAGTATAGATTTAAAACGGGACAGATTGAAATCCCGACGTAAATTCACACGGTTCTAGAAATCCCACCGGGGCGGGATTTGTCTTTGCTTATGCAAGATGATCGACTTTTATTTTATGATGAAACTTTTGTAACGCCGATGTATACGTGCGATTCCTCTGTGCTCGAAGGGCGTGTGCAGGAAGTAAACGCTGAAAATCCAGATCCCTGCAACAAAACTCCACTCCTGATGGGTCGATGTCTCACCCCGCGGATGCACGGATTCAGGCCGCTCGGGATGAGGAAGCCAATCGAATCCATCGCTGCCCTCTTCGTGATCAAAGTGTGATCGACTAGCGACCGCAATATACCCACCAGAGCGAGAATCGTCGATTAATGCTGGTGCTTTCTGTAAACAAATAACAGAATGCCCCCAGCCCAATCGTTTCAAAGCTCAAACGTGTGATTTTCCTATGGCCGGATTCTTCTTAGAGGCGTTACAAGTCACAAACGTAAGCTCATCTTTGTGGCCTCCAAATTACCCTCGAGGCCCCGCTACTTGCGCTTGAACGCGAGGAGCTTATGAATCCTCTCCTCCGCCGAGGTCAATCCAAGAGCTCGTAACCCGGCCTGGTGACACTCTACGGTGCCCCTCAGACGGACACCAGCGATCGCAATCGTGCTGGGAGCCTGGTTGCCATCCGCCGGCTGCTTGAGGTTTGACCTCGAACTCCGGGAGCCATGAGGCCTCGGCCGTAGATGCGGCATCTGCGAGGTCCACCGTGAAGTCCAAGAGCTTCCCCGTCACCTCGTACTGCTTCTGGATGTCGGGGTGGCGTTCGGTAGTAATCCACAACTGCTTCCAAAACCTCTCTTGGTTCTCAAGTGTCTTCAAACATTCCCGCCATGTGTTAGCCATCTCCTGCAGGCACCGTGTTTCAGTAGGGATATGGGTGTAATAGTTCCGACGGTACTTGAGCTCGAAAGGGTGCATCTTGTCGCGAAGCTCCTCCGGGAGGACATCGATGAGGGACTTCACGAGGATGGCCGCCTGGGGACGGGTAGCTCCGAGCTCCTCAAACCTGCTTGAACGCACAGAAACCACCGATGTCCAGGAACGACGCCCTCCATGCCCCCGAGGTCGAACGCTCATCAAACTCAGCCATCCTCTTCTCGAACTTGCTGCATTTGTCCTCTACTGCAGTAAGACGAATATTGCACTCTGTGAGGCCCTCCCGCAAGGGTTCGAGTTCTTCGCGCATCGAGGTGGTGACCGCCTGCTGCAATCCCACAGCCCACTGCGGAGCACCCTTCATCCTAGCGGGATGTGGTATGCAATCGACGAGAACGGGCTGTCAGAGTGAAACAGACAGCTTGGCAACCGTCTTGGCGCTTGTGCCGTCTTGAGCCGTCTTGTGCCTTGAGCAGTCATCATCATCATCATCATCATCATCATCATCACCACCACCACCACCATCATCATCATCATCATCATCGTCATCATCATAATTCACCATCATCATCATCACCATCATCATCAGCATCATCATCATCAGCATCATCATCAACATCATCATGATCATGGTCATGATCGTGATCGCGCTCAACATAATAACCATCATCATCTTCATCTTCATCATCAGCATCACCATCATCAACAACAACATCATCATCATCACCAACCTTCCTTATTTTCGTGTTGCCGCCCCTCCTCCACATTGCTATCCTTATCCGGCTTCCCCTTGCTGGATCCTCTCCGTTCCCACCCCATCCATGTTAGCGCCAGCCACTCCCGCGTCGCGAAACCCCTGCCACGCTTTTATCCAGGGACCATGGACTCGCAAATAATGCTCGACTCTGTTCGCGTCTGACAGAAACGGAGGGGGAGGTAGAATGGGAGAGAAATGTCAGGAACGAGCAGAGTGACAAGGAACATCGGAAGAGGAGGAAATAGAGGAAAAGGTGGCGAGGAGTAGGACGAGGAGGATATCCCCGCTCACAGATTGAGGATCACGCTTCCTCAATGGGCCTATGCACTGCCCTCCCGCCTTCAATCCTCCTCCATCCCTACTCTTATGAACAACGCCCTGTAGCATCACCAGACGCGTCCGCAAGCCAGGCCGACAGAGTCGCTTGAGCCCTCTTTGCAACTGAATGTCATGACACTTGAGCAAGTCGTCATTAGTACATGCGGAGAGGCTACATGAAGCGGGCTCGTTCTCCAAATGCGTTGTTCGCCTTAGCGCCGAGCACTTTCGTCCTAAAACAATACAGCAAATACATGGATGGAGAGAGGGGGGTGTCAAAATGCCGGTGTTCTTTTGGTCTCGCGCGCGTTCTTTACAGCAGTTCCCAACAATTGCAACAATGGAGGTCGGTTCGTGTTCAACGTGTGCCTCTCGCTGGGGACGCCCTCGGAAAACATGGCCCGAGTTCCCAATTTGCGTAACAAATGCACAGATGGAACGGCTGATTTTGCACATGGGGGTCTCGCTTGAAGCTCACGTAATGCCACCAAAACTTCGACATGGTGCAGCACTTGCACGGGTGGACGGCCGGCCCTCCTTAAACGTGGCCGTCACTGGGCAATTGTTTTGAAATTCGCAGTCAGATTCACGGGCGGAGGGTGGACCCTTTTTTACAAAAAACGGGATCTCTCAATGGCAAGCCCAAGACCCTTGTCAATCCAGGGAATCGCATCACAAAATGGAAATGCGAAGCTGTAGGTGCTTACGGGAGGAAAATTTCGGGCGGGAGGGTGCACTGCAGAATCGTTGATGCATCCTGGGTTTATTATGACCCTCCTCTTTGTCCTGAATCATTCCTTTCCCTCCCACTCGCTTCCTCCGTCCAACATCAAGCCCTCCATCCACCATCTCCTTCCCCGCGTTCATGTTCCATCCTGCCCCTGCTCCCGCACCCCTCCTCCATCACGGCCTGAAGAGGGGCTCGAGGGGCAACGAGAACTGGGGGAATCTCGGATGCTTATCACCGACACATCGGCGATAAGCTTCCGATAGCAAATCCGCGAGTTCCTGGGCGGGGTGGGGCTATCAGACAGCCATATCGGCGATCAGTGGGCGGTTGGGAGTCTGAGCCTATCCACCCTGGCATTGCCCCCTGACGCTCGGGCCATAAGTCGGCTTTTTGGCGGCCGTTCGGGACGATCCGGGCACCCCAAAACGCCTTCGGAGAGGCGCACCTGCTGGAAGGAATCTCGGGCATGGAAGCAGCTGGTGCGGAACATGGGTCAATAGACGAAGCCAGCGTGCGTGAAACGCTTTCGCCCGCGTGGTCGCCGCCGTCCCTCCTGCAGCAATCCACTCCAGCCACTACGCCACATAACATCGTTGACGTGAAGGTGAAGGCGAAGTAATCCACTCCAGCCGATACGCCACCTAACATCGTTCACGCGGAGGTGGAAGCGAATTCCTTCCCTTGGATCCCTTCCCGGGGCGGGGGGGGGGGCCGGGGGGGGATCCTGGGGGGTGGTCCCACGAGGTGGTCCCGGGGGGTGGTCCCGGGGGGCGGTCCCAGGGGGTGGTCCCGGGGATTATTCGATTGTTCGTTTACTCGGGCCCCCACTCCAACACGTCCCCGCCCTGGCCCCGGTCCCGGCCGGCCTCGGCCCCTGCCCCGCCGGCCCCGGCCCCGGACCCAGTCCCGGCCTCGGCCCCGCCCTGGCCCAAGCATGGCCCTGGCCCTGGTCGGCCCCGGCCCGGCCCCACCCAGCCCGGCCCCGGCCCTGGCCCGGCCCTGCAGGCCCTGGCTCCCGGCCCGCTCTGGCCCCGGCCCTGGCCCAGGTCCCGGCCCCAGCGCCCTCCAAATCTAACTCTACCTCCGTGGCCTCCCAGATGCCCAAGATGCCGAACCTATGTCTTCAAAACAGCGAACGAAGCCTGGAAGTCACCCCAGGAGGGCTCCAAGACGCCCCGAATGGTCCGCATAGGCAACTGGCGTCGTCGTCAACATCGTCAACATCCTCGCCATTATCTCCCTCCTTCTCCTCATGATCGCCACGCTCCACTCGCCCCTGCCCTTCCTTCGTGCCCCCCCCGACCCTGCTCGCCTCGCTCTCCTCCTATTCATTCCCCCCTGTGCTCCTACTCCTCCTCATCTGCCTCTTCATCCTGTCCACCTCTTCATCGTCCTCCCCATGCTCCGCGCCCTCCTCCCCAACCTCAGGGTCGGCGGCACCGGCCGGAAGGCCTTCGCAATATCGGACTTGGAAGCAGCTGGTGCGGAATATGGGTAAATAGACGAACTGCTGAAAAACCTCAGCAATCATGGAACGTATCATTATCAAGACCTCTTGCGCTCCTCTGACCTCCCCCCCGATCGTTGTCCCCGAAAGTTGCACGCGCGGCGCCTCCCGGGTCGCCGCCGCCGCCGCCGCTCTTGTGAAGCGGGCTCCTGCTGCGGCTGTTGGTGCGGACGCTGCGGCTGCCGGACCTTCGGAGGCGGAGGAGGTCGAGGAAGAGGAAGTCTAGTAAGGAGGAATACAGAGAAAAAAAAAAAACGAGTAGGATCATGGCGGAGAGAGGAGGAAGAGCAATCAGAACTGCGGGGCCGTGAAGCTCGACGAGAGAAAGCATTGCGGCAATATGGTGTAGATGCGGGGCTTTCCACTCAACAATATGTTTAGTACGCGCCGGCGCTTAAGCCAAACAGCGGCAGATCATCCCATTCCAATCGGGACCGTGGCCCAGCTCGAACAACACCGCCTCTCCTGGCACTCTGCTGGACTCTGGCACCGGGTCTGACATGTCAGCCCGGGCCCTCGGCCTGCGGAGATCAGCCGGGTGCATGGCATCGGCCGCCTCTCGCCGAACTTCCTCCCGCACGCAAAAGGGCCGACTCCGCATGCACCAGAGCCTTGGGCACCGTGCCGAAGGCCGCATGCTTCTCAGCACGTACCCTGCAAGACCCGGTCGCGGACTTTGGGCCGGGGGCGAGGCTTCCTGTCCTCCAACAGCCGAGTGGCCTGTCGCATGAGACTGGCTGCCTTCTCGGGTCCAGCCCGCCCCTGCGCAGGGCAATGGCCAAGGACTGCTCGCGAGACGTGGTCGAAGAAGCGAGCGCGGGCCAGGACTTGGAGTCAAGCTAGGGTTGAGACGACCACGGCGACCACCACGAGCCTGATTCGGTAGTCTTCCAGCCTCCCTGCAGCCCTCCCCCACCAGACGCCGCACATCCCATTATGATGCTTGAGGCGCCAACCGTAGCACCAATTCCAGCAGCCATTTCAGAAAGTGAAACGCTGAGACTTGTTGGGCATAGATCCTCCAGGAGTTCACGTGAAAGATGCTGGACCTGGGGCGGACCAGGAGCAGCTCAGCCAGGGGCGCACCTGGCAAATGGGTCAACACAAGCCGCGGACAAGCAGTATCCACTTGTTCCACAGGGGAGGCCAAACATTTGAGCCAGCATGGCTACAGACGACGAGGGGAGTGAGGAGGAGGGGAGGAGGGAGGAGGAGAAGGAAGGAGGGGAGACGGAGGGACGGGAGGGCAGCGGAAAGAGGAGGAGCGGCAGCAAGCAGACGGCAAACACACCGACAAAAACGGCACAGCAAGCCGGGACTAACGCTCTGAACAAACAGGTCGAGACCGAATTTCGGCGTCCAGTCGCGAATTGCGGTAACGAGCGAGCCGCCGACGGCATCGAAACCTTCGCTTGGACCCCAACGCGCGCCGTCTCTTCGTTAGCGAAATTCGACCCCCTCTGGTCGCGACCCAAGTCTGGCGCGCCCGAAATCCGTTACAGACAGTTTCGGGTCGCTGATGATCTGGGCGGAACGGTACATTGGCATGCGCTCCTCGTACGTTCAAGAACTTTTCGTTCGCGTGTCGCGGCGGCGGCCCCTGGCGACACCTTATGCCATGTAGATAGCCTGTCGCTCCACTCTGCGGAGCGGGAGGCTCGGCAAAGCTCGAAGTTTAAGACTTGGGGCTGGGAAACGGATAGCGTGTCGCGCCGAGGCGCGGTGGGCCAGAACCACCGGAGCGACGCGCTAGTCAGAGAGAAAGCAAGAACTACACACGGTCCGCGTGGATTTTTGGTGATCTGCGCCTCACCCCCCTCCCTGGCGCGCGAAGTGCGCCGGGGGCGGCGCCCGAAGCCCCGCCAGCGGGGCCCGGCTCCGATCCAAGAAATCCGCGTAGACCTCTACGTTGCTATGCTTCTTGGTAAACAACACAAGTATTCCTAATCCTGAGGGGGGGGGACCTGTTAGGAGAGCGAGAAACACTAGGGAAGAATCGATTTGCAGACACCTCAAACGAAGCCACCCACATGTTAGGGATGACCGGAACAGAAAAAGAGGACCCAAGTCAGGCCACGAAATCATTGTTGTTGGGGTTAGGGGCTGTACTGTACGTAATCATTATGTCGTCGTTGGGGCCCTCTGCCGTCAGAAAAAGATCCCGACCGTACCCCCTCGCCGGGCACCGCCGCTCAACGCCGCGCGCGCGGCCCGCGGGGGCTCGGGCTCGGCTTGGCCGGCGGCCGAGAGAGCGGGCCCCGCGGGCCGCGAAGGCGCCGCGGCCCCCGCGGGCCTGGAACGCGAGCGCGAGCGCGAGGAGCTGCGGCTGCTGCTGCTGCTGCGCTCCTCGTCGCGGAGGTCCTCCGCCGGGCTCCCGCGGAGATCGTCGTCGTCGTCGTCGTCGTCGTCGTCCGTCGTCCGTCGTCGTCCGTCGCCCGTCGTCGTCTGTCGTTGTCGTCGCCGTTAGCGTCGTCCTCGTCGTCGTCGCCGTCGTCGTCGCCGTTGTCGCCGACATGGTCGTTGTCGCCGTCGCCGCGCCGCCACGGTCGTCATCGCTGTCGCCGCCGCCGCCGTCGTCGTTGTGGTCGCTGTCGTCGCCGCAGCGGGCGTCGTCGTCGCAGTTCCTATCTCGCCGCGGGGGAGCCGCCGGCGCGCCCGCCGCCGGCACGCGCGGCGCAGTCTGTCCGCTGGCCCGCGCAGAGGGTCTCCCCTGGCACACTCTTCCTGCTCCGCCAGCTCCTCCACGTTCCTCCTCCTGCTCCTCCTCCTGCTCCTTCTTCTGCTCCTCCTCCTCCTCCTGCTCCTCCTCCTGCTCCTCCACTCTCCTCCACCTGCTCCTCCAGCTCCTCCTGCTTGACTTGATTTCACTTGGCTCGGACTATCTGACAATATGTCGTAGTGTTCGGCTCCTCCTGCTGCTCCTCCTCTTCCTCTTCGACACACGCCTGCACATCCTCGTCCTCCTGAGGCAATGGGGCAGGGACGGCAATGGAGTTCTCCTCCTCCTCCAACTCCTCCTCCTCCTCCTCCTCCTCCTCCTCCTCCTCCTCCTCCTCCTTTCGCGCACTCCTGCACCTCGCAGCTTCCAACCCTCTCTGGAGCACTGCGCACGCAAGGCCTGGACCGCCTCGACCGCCAGAGGCTAGACGAGTGCGCGGGGCGGAGAGAGGCAGGGACGGCGACGCACCCGCAAACTCTTGCAAAACCGCGGCCAGGAGGAGCTCCCCGCCGCAGGCAAGACGCATGGATTCACTGACAACCCTGTGGACCTCCATCGCGTCCTTGGTGGCTCGTGGATCTGCATCCTCCACCCCACCGTACACCTGGCACGAATAGTTTTTCCTCCTCTTCGTCCTCCTCATCCTGCCGCCCGGGGCCCCCTATATACAAGGCCCCAGGCGGCCCTGGAGCGGCCCCAAGCAAGCCCCAGTCGGTCCTCAACAGGCTCCCGACAGGGCCCCTCCCGCGCGTTCCGCAAGTGGTTCCGTGACGTCTCGGGAACACCCCGACCAATAGCATTGCCACACTGACGTTCAACATTATACCACAAAGGCACTTCCAAAGGCAGGGGCGGCGGTGACTCACCCAGGCGTCTTCGATAGAGGCGCCCGTGTGAAGATATCGAGAGGATGAGCAGCAACAACAAGATGACAAAGACGAGTAACCGAAGGAGGAGCCCGAGGAGCTGAAATAAGCAACAGCAATAGCAGATCAGCAGCGGCAACAGAGGCGGCATGAAAGGCATCTGCAAGAACAACAACATAAGCAAGATAATCTCGTCCGTGTCTCCTGTGGCTACGGCTGTCCAGTTCTAGGCTCCCCCTGTGTGACGTTTGGTCATACTAGTCGTACTCGGACGCTCAAGGATTGACCTGGGATCGCACCGATCGATGCTGAACCGATCCTGGAACTCGGTGTGTGTGTGTGTGAGTGCAAGTGTGTGGGTGCAGTGGTGTATTGTTGAATTGGTGTGTGTGTGTGAGTGTGTGTGTGTGTGTGTTGGTATGCGCGTTGGTGGGTATGTGTGCGCGTCCTTTCTCTGCTGCTCTAGCCCTGTCGACTTCGGCCGATTCACCCACGCGCCTACGGCCCAGCCAGCCGTCAGCACACACATCCGCTGCAGGTCGACCGCACACACTCGACGCCGTTCCTTGTGATGGCCCCCCCGCCACTCCTCCGCCTCTCCTCTGGTTGTGCTCGGTGGTTTCACCGTCGATCCTCCAAATTTCCTGCACCGCCTGATGTTTCTTGCTTGGCTCCGTCCTTGCGCGGTTGACTGCCGTGGATCCCGCACATATCCCCAATGAAACAAACCAATTCGAGGTACACTCGTCCGGTTACCTTGCATCTGTGGTTTGGGTTCAGCCGCGCGTCGGAGGGAAATGTGTATATCTGTGGGTGTGCGTGTAGGTGCGTGTGTCTGTGTGTGTGCGCGCGTGTTGGATGTGTGTGTGTGTGTGTGTGTCTTGTTTGTGTTTGCACGTGCCTGAGTGTGCGTGTGTCGGTGCGTGTTTGTCCTGATCACGCTGCGTCGCTGCTCGTGCAGGAGAGACGCGAAAAAAGGTATGCGCGTGCGTGCAAGCGTGCGTTTGTGAGTACATATCCGACCGACGACTGCCAACTGTATGTCCGTGTGCCTGTGTGTACTGCTACTCTGCTCGGCAAACGAGCATCTAAGAGAATCTAAGGCCTCTCCATCCCGTCGAGCGGTAACCGCTCGCCTAAAAAACTATCAAAAACGGTGACGGGAGACCATTCGGGAGAGAGAGAGAGAGAGTGAGTGAAAGGGAGAGAGAGAGAGAGAAAACAAAAATGCATACATACTTATATAAATAGAGAGAGAGAGAGAGAGCAAAAACAAACCAAAAACAACACACACATACATATATACAAATATATACATATATTTATGTAGATATATGTGTGTTCAGAGAGAGAGAGAGAGGAACAAGAAAACAAACAAAAAAGAGAGAGGCAGAGGAGCAGGCGGAGGGAGACGCCGAGGGAGAGGCAGGGGAAGACGGTGGGGAGGGGGCATGGGGAGGGAGGCAGAGTAGGGGGGCCTGGATGCGGGAGGATGGGAGATGGCGAGGGGAGGGGGGGGGGGGAAGCTGGGCGGGGGCGGGAGGGGGGAAAATCACAAGGTCCTCGGACCTCTCCCAGGTTGCGCTCTGACCAGAACCCCCAGGCGCACCCGGGCGTGACAGAGAGGGGGTCTCCCACGGGAGGCCCGAACAGGCGAACACGCGCCAGGGGTAGCAGTACAACGGTCGGTACCTCTTCCTCCTCCGAGGGGCGGGTCGGAAGGGAGTCCTGGTAGAAGTCTTCCACGCGCTCCATCAACTGAGGCGACGGCACCTTGACAGCGGCACGGCCGGGCGAGGTGGCGCCGCCGCGCGCCCAACTTCGCGCGTCGGGCGGCGCGGCGATCGCGACGTGCGCTCGTCCTCGCGCAATCGCGCCGCCCCCACCCCCAAGAGATGGGCAGCTCTCCCGTCCGAGCTGCGCCGTGTGAAGCGCGGTGATGCCGGCGCCCGCCAGAAACACTATAGACTGTACCCAGAGAGCCGTGGGGGGTGGGCGAGGGTCCTGGTCGTGAGTTTGGCATGCGCAACTCCCTCCCTGGGGCCCTGGGGCGTGGTTTTGGTATGTTAAACGTGGCCCCGTGCGATCGAATCTGAGTGGGGCTGGGAAGGTGTGGCATACAACAAAATCTCGGAGGATACAGCAAAATCGATGACCTGGCTGCAGGCCCGTTCCCGACAACTTCTGGGTGTTGACACGAAGGCCCCCTGGTCTTCGTCTGGGGGGGGGGGGCATAGCCGCGGAAGCGCCCCGGGGAAGCCCAGGGTACCGCTCGGGCCAGGGGCATCTGTGGTGGTTGAACGCCCGACCCATCCTCCCGTTCCCCCCCCCCGCTCGTCTCTGAGGTCGCACTGGGGCAGCGGGGGTGGACCAGAGAGACCGGGGGGGCGGAGGAGCGCGAGGACGATGGCGATGAGCATGACGAGCAGGAGGGTCGAACGAGCGGACTACGTGAGTCTTACATTTTAGATGTGCGGCGAGTTTGATCCAACAAGCGATCGGGCCAGAGGCGGGACGCGTCCGTAGCTGACAACGGCGGCAACAAAACAAAGGCCACGGAACGGTCAGAGAGCTCCCAGACCTGTAGAGCTTCAAGCGGCGCCGGAGGTCGGGCTCGTGAAGTCGGCGACGGCGTTGCAGAAGAGTGAAGGACACGCCGAAGGCAAGGGTCCAGGGCAAAGCTGCGGCACAGGAAACATGCATGTGTATGTTTGGTCGGTTGGGGACTGGAGAAGTGACTGGTGCGTTACCACAAGACGTACTGGTGCTGACCTACGTAAGAGGACGGCTGCTGCCATCGGCTCAGCAGGCGTGCGCTGCTGCTGTCGCCAGTGGTGAAGATGATTCTGCCTCTATTGTCCCTGGGCACTTCTTTGCGGTGGGTGTGCAACCCGAAGTGGCTGGGACTCTCAAAACACAAAGGGACAAAGGTAACTTCTGTTGGACCCCATGTGCTGGTGAAAACCCACGCGGGCATCCCGTGCGTCGAGAAGCAATGCCGCGGTCTCAGCACAGAAAGGCCTGGCACTCAGCACTCAAAATACCAACCAAATATCACTCAGGAATATGAGCCAAGAATTCCCAGGTCGTCCGTTCAGGGTAGGCGAGGTGCCGGAGAACCGGTGTGGCCAAGAAGCACAAGCTAGTGACTGCAGGAAGGGCCCGCGTTGCCCAAGCGCCAGAGGGAAGTGCCCATCACGTCTCAGCGACGTGGCTGTAGGTCAACAAGTGGCCAAGATAGTGTAAGCTCCGCCAGCGGGAATTGGCACGCCCACGCTGCAACCAAGCGCCGTAGCCCAAGGGCCAGGGCGCCGCGTAGCACAGGAGATGCGGGTACACTAAGGAACATTCTGGGATACCCAGGCCCCGGAGCGGCGTGCAGATACGCGATCGCGGCATCAAGCGGCCGACCGCCACGCACTCGGCGGATTGCGGTAACCGTGGCAACTCAGAGGGTGCATGCGATGCTCCTCCAGCCGGCAGCGATCCGCCAGCTGCGCACCGCCAAGCGATGTCCAGGACCAGGAAGGCTGGGCAACATGCCAAGCAAGGCAACTCCCCCGAGGGCGCCCCAAAGCCGCGCTGGCCTGCCGCGATCTTCATGGCATGCCTGCCAGCCTGCGTACCAGGTGCACCCAACGCCAGCAGCAGCCACCACCGACCAAGACCAGGGGGGGCAGCCCAGCAGCGGGAAGCCCATCAGGGGGGAGTGCCCTAGCCGCGGCAGATTCAGGAGCGGCCGAACGCCGAGACGAGATATGCGCACGAGCGGCAAAACGCAGAGGATACAGGACAGGAGAGTAAAGCCTCGATGGACTGGTGAAAGCGCGGCAAACCGCAGGGGCAGGGGATACGGGAGCGGCAAGCCGCGGCGGCCAGAAAGGGGCCCCAGCACAATCATTCCCTGAGGAGACACATGCCCTGGACAGGCATCGCCTCACAGTGCGCAAGCCAACTGCTCCAGTGGTGCAGCAAGACTCCACACGTGAAGGCGAAAACAGAAGGCATAATTTCCGAGATGCCGGTTGGTACGTTCATAAATTGCAGGCCCCTGATGGCAGTGGTGACGACACTCATGAGGCTCCCTGCAAGCAACAAACATCCGATGTTGGGCCAGTCCCACTTTAAGGTAGCTCCATCCACAGAGGCATAGGCCTCGTCCAAAGTGAAGAGACAAGCAATGAACAAGAGCGTCCCCAGAAGACACCAAGTGCCCTTCGAGCCATGCTTGAAGGATATCGTGGGCGAAACACATCTCAGAACGTTTCGCGGATATCCCGCGCGGAACGTATCCGTAAGACCGCGTATCCGCGGGATCGCGCCCCAGAAACCAAGACCGCGAAGGCGCGGATACGGATATGGTCGTCGCTCTTGCAGGATATGCCAAAACACCGCTCGTAATTGCATTGCACTGTCCGCTAGGGTCGCCCTGGCCGCCAGACATAAAAAAACAGCCGGGGGGGCGCAGATTCCTGGCGATGCTAGGCTGCCCCAGGTGTCTCATTGAACGCCACCGCACGGTCAGGACAGCCTCAGAGGCCTCGAAGACGGCCCCAGAAGGCTCCGAAGAGGGCATCAAGAGCCCAAGACGGCCGAAGATGGACCCAAGATGCATCCAAGATGGCCCAGGACGGCTCCAAGAAACCCCCGAGAATGCAACACGCATTGAACAACAAATGCTTCCATTGTTTTTGCCCGTCCCACGTTTTACTCGCAAGATGTCCAAACATCGCTTCAAACCAGTCCCCAAAAGCCCCCGATATTCCCCAAGACGGCACCGAGGTAACCTCCAAAGGCCCCACCGTGACGCCCAAATCGCCCAGAATGGCCCAACAAGGCCCCAAGATGACTCCAAGACGCCAACTCAAGATTGGCGCCAGCCCCAGGATTGCCCAGGATGGCCAGATGATGTCCCCAGAGGCCCCAAGATGCCCAGCCCCATGATGGCCTGAGAGGGCCCCCTCACTACCCCAGTATGGTTGCAACGCGACTCAGCCTAGACAGGCCAGCGGCAGAGGGTGCAGCCGATAAGATCTGGCCGCTCCCGCCTGCGGGTTGGGCCGTGCGAGACCACTCTGTCAAAGTGCCTGGCAGGTTCGTCAGGGCATGGCCAAATCCTCCCCGAAGTCCACCCAGTAGGCCACCGCTCTGTCGGCGGTCCCTCGCCGCCCCCGCCCAAACTCAAGATTCGAAGCAACCCCAGAGGGCCCCCAGACGACTTATGAGAGCCCCAAGACAGCTTCGGTGAGCGCCCGAGACGGTCCAGGAGAGCCTCAAGACGGTTCCAAATCGCTCCGAGACCGTCCAGGCTGGTCTGAAGACGGCCTAAGAGGCCTTCGTGACGTCCAAAGAGGGCTCCAACAGGACTCTCACGAAAGCTCTGAGATGCCAACACAATTGATTTCCTGGTGGTGTTTGAAGGATTGTCGTATTCGCCCTTTCGGGCTTCCGACGCTCCAAGACGGCCCAAGAGGCCTCCAAGATCGCCCCAAGACAGCCCACGAGTTCCCCAAGAGAACCCCCAGACAGGACAAGAGGTATCAAGGACGGCCCAAGAGGCCCCCCAAACTGTCCAAGACGGCCCCAAGAGGGCTCCAAGAGGGGGAACTCGAAGTGACACATCGCGCTCTCCGTCCCAAGGTGACACCCGAAACCGCCATCGGGCCCTAGGGGCCACTCAGAAGCCCCTGGAAGCCCTAGGGAGGCCCAAATCAGGCCCTAGGAGGCCCCCAAGAGGCCCCGAGAGGCCCTAAGACATCTCCAAAACCGCCTCCAGGAGGCTTCCGAAAAGCCTTCCAAGAAAACCCCACAGGTATCCAGTGCGCCTAGGCACGGTGGCAGGATGGGCCGAAGACTACCAGATCCGCCGCCCCCTGCTTGCAGGGGTGCACGGCGTGCTGGATGAGCTGGTTTTGGTTTTGGTTCTTTTTCCAAAAGAACTCCCCAGTGGGCTCCGGCAGAACCCGCCGGCCACCCGGAAAATCCCCAAACGTGCTCAACGACCGGAAAAATCCTCCAAAAACGGCCGTTTCGCTCGGGACATCCTCAAAAAATCGCGAAGATGGCCCAAGATGGCCTCCAAGTCCGCCCGAGATGGTCCAAGACGGCCTCCAAAACGGCCCAAGAGAGTCCAAGACGGCCCAAGACGGCCCAAGAGGCCCCCCAGAGGCCTCCCAGACGGCCCAAGAGAGGTCCTCCAGGAGAGTCCGAAGAGGCCAAAATCATTGATTTTCCCTTGGTTTTTGAAGGATTTTGGCATTTGCGCCTTTTCGGCTCTCCGACGGCTCAAGACGGCCCAAGAAGCCCCCAAGATCGCCCAAGAGGCCCCCAAGAGAGCCCCCTGATGGCCCAAGTGGCCTCCAAGATGGCCCCTAGAGGGCCCCAAGACGGCCCAAGAGGCCTCCAACACGCCCAAGATGGCCTCCAAGACGCCCAAGATGGCCTCCAAGACGGCCCTGGAGCGCCCCAAGAGGGTCCCCCGTTGGCCCAGAAAGGCCCCCAAAACGGCTCCCGACGGCGTCAGACGTGCCAGGAACCCACCAAGATGGCCGAAGTTGGCTCGAAGCTGGCCCAAAAGGGCCCAAGAGGCCCCCAAGAGGGCCTCCAGGAAGGCCAAAAGATGCCAAAATCACTGATTTTCCCAAGGTTTTTGATGGATTTGGGCATTTCCCTTTTTTCGGCCTTCCGACGGCCCGAGACGGCCCAAGAGCCCCCAAAGATCGCCGAAAGATCGCCCAAGAGGCCTCCAAGACGGCGACGATGACCATCAAGAC